ATACAAAAAATATTGTTTTAAAAGTGGTTAACCATAAAAAAGGCCCTAATAGGCACAGAGCCCTTTGGGGGGTGAGGAAGCCCTATTAGAGAATACAAAAAATATTGTTTTAAAAGTTGTTATTAGATCAACGTTTGATTGATGTTAATGTGCTGAGGTTGTGCAGTGGAAACTATTGTTAATTCTTTTATGTTAACAGGATTGTATTTCTATTATGTTACAACTTGCTGTACCATGAGATTGCCAATTTTCTGTTTTCTGCTGACCTCAAGGCCAGAAGATAATGTACAAAAATCTATGAGAAAAGACTCTCATAAACAAAAATATACAGAGCACACCTGGTTTCGTGAAGGACAAGCTGATATAACGTTAAACTAAGTCTGTGTGCTTATCTGCCCCTTAGAAATGTACCAACTTAGGGTATAAAGGCTATGGTGAAGAATAAAGCAACTGCCAGACTCTGCTGCATATTTCTGGTCTTGTCTCTTTCTTTCTTTCTCTCTCTCTCCCTAGCAGACTTGGCCCTATCAAGGCTGGTCCTATGTGTCTCTCTCTCGCCAACGCCGTTCATCCTGAGGGTTCCCCTGGATCCTGCCGGGGTCAATTTCCTTTCTCTAGGTTATAAGAAGCAATCTATGCTCCATCCACCTCTTTAACAGTGTTGCTGAAGCTAGTTTTCTAAAACCATACAAGTACCCAACAATGCCAATCAACAATGAAAATAACCTTGAACACTTAAAAGAGCAATGCTATTAATATGCACAGCCACCCTACAGTGATTTAACTGTTCAGATCTGGGATGAATCTAAAGGTGGAATTAAGATTGCTGGGAGAAATATCAACAACATCAGATATGCAGATGATACCACTCTAATGGCAGAAAGTGAAGAGGAACTAAAGAGTCTCTTGATGAGAGTGAAAGAGGAGAGTGAAAAAGTTGGCTTAAAACTCAACATTAAGAAAACTAAGATCATGGCATCTAGTCCCATCACTTCATGGCAAATAGACAGGGGAAAAAGTGGAAACAGTGGCAGACTTTATTTTCTTGGGCTCCAAAATCACTGTGGATGGTGACTGCAGCCATGAAATTAAGAGACACTTGCTCCTTGGAAGGAAAGCTATGACAAACCTAGACAGCATATTAAAAAGCAGAGAAATCACTTTGTCTAAAGGTCTGTATAGTCAAATCTATGGTTTTTCCAGTAGTCATGAATGGATCTGAGAGTTGGACCATAAAGAAGGTTGAGTGCTGAAGAACTGATGTTTTCGAATTGTGGTGCTTGAGAGTCCCTTGGACAGCAAAAAGATCCAACCAGTCAATCCTAAAGGAAATCAATCCTGAATATTCATTGGAAGGACTGATGCTGAAGCTGAAGCTCCAATATTTTGGCCATCTGCTGTGAAGAGCTGACTCACTGGAGAAGATCCTGATGCTGGGAAAGATTGAGGGCAGGAGGAAAAGGGGGCAACAGAGGGTGAGATGGTTGGATGGCATCACCAATTCAATGAACATGAGTTTGAGCAAACTCTGGGAGACAGTGAAGGGCAGGGGAGCCTGGCATGCTGCAGTCCATGGGGTTGCAAGGAGTCAGAAACGACTTAACAACTGAACAACAACAACAGATCTGGGAGGAGAACAATGCACTGTCAGAGCCATTCATCACAAGTCCCGTCTGCCTTTCTGGATGAGTGTTCATAGGGACTGACTAGCCTCCATCTCATGCTATTCAAAACCATGTCACTTCCAGTGTGCTTTAAAGATCACACGCTTGGTCTACACAAAGGGAAAGCTGAAAATGCCCATGTGGTTGGGGTTTATTTTGTGTGATACCATTTTAAAAAATCAAGTGTTTATTTTTCATCTTTCTTCAATATTGAGTATACAAAAGATTACTTATAAAATACAAAACATATGAAGAATGATATAAGAAATGTTCACACGCACACCAACTAGTGCAAGAGGAAGCCATACTAGGCCAGGATTTGCCACATGCCCCTTCCTGACCCCACCCCCACTTACTCCTCAAAGGTCATCATCATTCTGCATTTTATGTTTGCCATTTTATTAGTTTTTCTAAAAATCATTTTACCACATTTATATTCCTAAAAACACACTGGGTGTGAACATCTGGGAACTCAGGATACATGGAATCACTGCTGACATTCTTCTACAACTTCCTTCTTCTGCTCAACACTGCATACCTGAAATCCACCCACTGCTTGTGGGCAGCTGAAATCCACTCTTTTTCACTGCTGTAGTTTGGTTGGATTTTCAGAATTTACTTGCAGTCTACTTGGCTTTCCACATGTCTCAGACCTAGCCCATACCCACTGTAGTTCACTCACTACTTTTCATCCCCGGGAGAAACAACTTTCTTTCTGAACATTTTAAAATCAAGAAATGTTTGCTATTCCTAGATGTCTCAACTTGGTAGTTCTGATTTGGAGGTGCCTGAGCAATCTTTATCCCCAGGGCACTTTGTGCACAGAAGTCCAGCTGTGGTAGTGTGTGCTCTTTTTCCTGCCTATGCAAGAGATGGCATGTATAGGACTCTGAAAATTAAAGCTATTCTATCAATTTGTTGAAAGTGGTAGGAATCTTGTGCAGCATGGTACAGAAACCATTATCCCTCATCCTTTAAAAATTCCCCAAGTGAAGCATTCAGCCCAGAAAACAGAATGTTTAAGAAACTGCTCAGTGGGAGAATAAACTGATGAATGTTCCAGAAGGAATGAGGATCCAAAAGGTCTGAGTCCTTGGGTAGGTCTGGCCCCAGCACTGCCCATACCTACTCAGACCACTCTGCCCTCCAGATCCACCTCCCGCCCCCCAGCTAAGCATCCACAGACTCATATTGAGCCCAGACTGTGCAACAATAAACTGAGTCAGCCCCTGCCCTCTCCGCAGCCAAGCAGGAAATCAAGTGCAATGAAGCACGTATCAGTTCATCCTGCTCCTTCGCCTCATGCAGGGTGCTCTGCTCGGACGTCACCTCCTCAGAAAAGTCTTTCGTGACCACCTGGTCTAGCTATTCCCCTCTGCCATTCTCTGCCATCTGACCCAGGCTCATTTTTCTTCACAGAATTTATCACCACCTGCTTTATATTTGCTGTTTACTGTCAGGCAAGCTCCACGAGGACTGATAAGAGTGCTGGACACAGAGTAGGTGCTCTACGGGTGTTTGATGAAGGAAGGACTGACACAGGCATGTTCTGTGAGCACAGAGAAGGGGCAAATTCCACTCTGGCTGGTTCTGGAGAGGATGCCAGCTGAGCTGAGTTCTGAGGGACAAGTAGTTCAAGGTGCGCAGCTCTCTCTTTCGAGCAGGCCTGGAACTGTCCTTATATGGGTCCATATCTACCTCCTTCATCACCGGGGGCCCAGCCAAGTGGAGACTACTTTCATTTGCTTGGGGATTCTCCAGAGCACTTAGCACAGTGGCCTGCCCTCATTCATTCCACGAATACTTAGGAGGCATCTACTAGGTGCTCAATACTGGACAGAGTAGAAATTTTAAATATTTCTCTAAATTGAACTACATTATAAAAAGTCTGGGATTGTGTTTGAGTCTCTTTGGTCAGAGAAGGCTTTTACAACATTCAAATATTATGTCCTTTAAAATATAAAGTATTTCCTGAAACACAACCTTCAAGATTTTCAACTTCAAAGAAATAGCACAGAGCCCACTACAAGCCTGCTTCCAAAAACTGAATTCTTATCTCTATAGAGGGAATGCCCTCTACCCTCCCCCACCCAGTTCATCTCTGTGAAATGTACAATGATGATGATTAAACTTGCCAGCTACTATCGATGCAGGGACAAAGAGTCAATATCCAGCAAAGATAGGGTGGAATATGGAAAAACCCCAGTAGGAACAGGTTTTTCTCCCTGTTAATGTCAATGTCCCAAACTGATACCAGAGCAGTGATATGTAAATGGAAGGCTCAGAAATAAGACAGAGACCTCAAAGCCCACCTAATGGATTTAGAGTTTGCAAAAGAGCAATACCATAACCAAAGACAGGCAATACAGGCACAGAAAGAATGCAATGGACTTCAGGAAAAAAAAAAAAACGCTATGAATTCAGTAATATGCTATGGAAAGATTTTCTCTATGGAAGGCAGATACATCAATAACCAGTATTAGCAGTTTATCAAAATCACAGCAATCTCTGAGCAAAACAATATTAGTGGAACAGTCTCAGAAAGCAACAAATCAGAAATAAGAGCTGACATCACTTTGAAATATTTTTTTTTAAATTCCCAAGTGTTCATTAAAAATCTGGGTTTCTTCCTATGTTCTCTGAACCAAACTGTTGTACTAGAACAAGCATTATGTGATTCTCTCTATATATATATCTTCTTTTTTCCAAATTAAAATCATATTTCTCTTTCTTCCTCAGTACTTCTGAAGATGTTTCCATTCTATTGCTGGATTGAGTTATTAATATATTGAGTTATTCTTGTCAGTAAAATATTTAGTAAAATATTTAAAAGACTTAGGTCAGTGGTCACGCAGTGTACATTTGTTTTTCAGTCACACAGTTTTCCATTGGTGAGTTCACTCAATTCTTAACAAAAGAATATAATGGCTTCATTATAAAAAAAACACACTGCCGATGGTGACTGAGAAGTTATTATTGCCTCTGTTAAAGAGATAGATAAGACGAGAGGGCATGAGAACAAGCATGGAGCACATGGGCTTCAGAGCTCAAGTACAATGCAATCCCTTCACTCAAGATGCAGCTGGAGGAGAAGGCCAGAAAAGTAGAAGGGGACTGATTCACCAAAAGAAAACAGGCCAAGTGGATCATCTCCATAAATCAGGGTCCAATACCACCAGGCAACGAAGCCCTCAAGACCCCACTGTTTATCCAGAAACATATAGCACACCTCAGAGCACTGGCCACGCCTTGTGGGGGAGCTGGAGGCACATGCCACCCCACCCAGAGCCTCCCCCCAAACTGCATGTGACTGTGGCGAAGGAGAAAGAGGCTTACTTAGATGTCACAGGAGAAGACGACCTCTTAGAAATGCTTCTCAGAGGAGACATGAGGCCCACGCTGGATACAGAAGCAGTTGCTCTCGGCCCCCTCTTCATCTTCTCTGTCTGTAGGAGACACAGAATAGGACAGCCATGGCCCATCACTTCCATGAATTTTTAAAAAATACCCCAGATGGAAGTGATGCACAGCTTTTTTTCAGAAGGAACCAAACAAAGCTATACTGCTTCCCACCATGGCCATCTTTGCAGAAAAGCACCAGGAGATCATCACATTTAGGTCATTCAGTTAGGGGAAAAAATTTCAGTCTTAAAACATAAATACCTCCTTTTCCTTGTTATCTTATAATAAGCTAACAAGGGAACCAGATTATGGTCCTGGACATACAGAACCTGGAATGACTACAAAGATATACAATCACTATAAGACAGCTATAGACGGGTGCAAGACAGTGAGCTGGGGACCTTCAGTGTACCTGGTTTAACAGGAACTGTAACCCCTCCATCCCTCAACATCTCCATGGCCTGCCCCACACTGGTGCCTGGGCCTGGCCCAGACCAGATGCTCCACGACGGTGGTGCTCTTCTCTCCCTATTGTAACTTTTTGCAGCAAATCCTCATGGGGCCCACATACATTAGCCCCCTTTTACACAGTAAAACCCTAGCATCTGAAACATTCACTTCTCCTGTGAGAAGCTCAGGATCATACTGGATTAAAAAAAATAAATATGGTATTACAAAATAAATGCCCAAAGGTAATGTGGTATTTAAAATAAGTCCACATGTGATATGATGCTCCTCCCTTTAACAGGTGGAGCTTAGTTCCCTTCTCCTCAAGCATGAGTTGGTCTCTCTCTCTCTTTGATCTTTTGCTCTGGAGGAAGCCAGCTGCCATGTTGTTTGGACTCTCAAGCAGCTCTATGGAGAAGTCCATGCAGTAAGGAATGGGGGCCTCCTGCCAAGAGCCACATGAACGAGCCATCCTGGAAAACCCCTGACAAGTTTTCTGACGACTGCAGTCCTAGCTGCTTGCAGTCCTGACCACACCCTCATGAGACCCTGAACCACAACCACTCAGCTATGATGTCCTCAATTTCTGACCCAAAGAACCAGTGAGGTAATACACATTTGCTTTAAGCTGCTAAGGTTTGGGGTGATTCGTTACACAGCAAGTGGTAACTAATGAAAGTAATATGGCATATATAATTTCTAAACAGACACAATTGGGGATACTGCTCAACATCTGCCTTACTGATGGTGTTAGCAAGACAACAAAAATGTTCAAAGGCCACTGATGTGGATGAAAGTTGACCCAGAACCTCAGTTCTAGTTGCCTGTAGAAGCAAAACTGGCCCAGAAGCAGACATTCTTAAAGAAGCAGAGAAAGGGCACTCGGAACATTCTTTCTGACCCCCAACCTCCTTCTGAGGGTTTTGAAAATCTACTTCAAGGCAGTAAGATTTAGGAGGGTGCAAAAAGTTACAGGATTTTCAAAGGTTGGGTACCATTTAAAACCAAATCTTTTCCTTGAGCAGTCCCTGGAGACTGATGGAAACAGACCCCAGGTCAAGTGCAGGGAATAATCACAGTGTAAGATAACCCAGTCCCAAGAGGTGAATGGATAGAAACCTACTGGAGAGGCCTCCACTCCGGCAGGGGCGACTTTCCCAGCATCTCCTCCACCAGATGTAGATGTGATCTTCTTCCTCTCGACGTTTCGAGTGGGAGAAGACTTGTAGGAAGATTTAAGGGAGCCAGCAGGAGCTACACGCGGACAGGTATGGGATACTAGAGTTACAGTATAAAAGCCAGAGACAGGGAGAACAGACGGAAAAGTTGAAGGAAAGCAGAGAATTGGGAAGAACACCACATTTCAGTTAAAACGTGACACGAGCAATCCACATTCTCAAAACACTGCCATACTTTTTCTAGTATATGCGGAATAGATGCTATCTTAAAAGACTCCCATGCTCAATGCTGAAGAGTCTAGGTCATTTCAGGAATTCAAAATCTGGGCTTTGGTGCCAGGTGGACCTAGCACCATCACCTAATAGCTGGTTCACCTTGGGTAGGTTACTTAATCTCTCTAAATGTCAATTCCCTTGTACAAGAGAGAGTTAACATAGCAGACCTGACTGCTGTCCTTGGAAGGGCCTGTTTATAAGGTTGACCCTTGTAAGCCTCTGGAAACTTGGATTTCAGAAGGGTTCTCACCATTAACTGATAAGTAGGTCACTGTGCCTAAGCTGTTTGTACAAACATTATGATTTATGCTGAACACGTGCTTTTCTTCTGAGTCTGGAATTTGAGCATGGACCTGGCAGAGGGTGCTCATGTGACCAGCCCCCAATAAAAACTCTGGGCACTGAGTGTATAATGAGCTTCTGTGGTTGGCAACACTTCACACATGTCCTAACTCATTGCTGGGGGAATGTGTCCTGTGTGACTACACCGGGAGAGGATGCTGGGAGCCTGTGCCTGCTCTTCCCTGGACTTTGTTCCATGCACTTTCTCCCTTTACCTATTTTGCTCTGTAGCCATTTGCTGCGATAAATCATAGCTCTGAGACCTCCTAGAGAATCATCGATCCTAGGAGTGGTACTCCTGATGCATTCTTTGTTCTCAAAATGGGGATACTTCCTACTTTCCAGGAATTTTTTGTTTATTTGTTTGAGACATAATTCATATATTATAAAGTCACCCCTTTAAAGGTATACAATTTAGTGGCTTTTAGTATATTCAGAGGTTGTGCAACCATAACTATGGTCTAATTCCAGAATATTCTCAATCTCCGCAAAAGAAACTCTGTGCCCATTAAGCACTGACTCCCCTCCCTCTCTAGCAAACCACTTGTTTACTGTCACTCTGGATTTGTCTATTCCAGACATTTCATATAGATAGAATCATATCACTTGTGGCATTTTCTGCCTGGCTTCTTTCACTGAGAATAATGTTTTCAAGGTTCATCATGTAGCATGTCAGTAATTCATTCCTTTTCACAGCTGAATAATATTCTACTTTATAAATAAATACATTTTTTTCAGTCCATTCATCTGTTGTTGGACATCTGGGTTGTTGCCACTTTGCGGCTAATATGAATAATACTAAGACTTGTATACTTTGTGTATGTTTTCAATTTCCTTGACTCTACATCAAAGAGTAGAATTACTGGTTCATGTGGTAACTCTAACATTTTGAAAAACATGCCAGACTGTTTTCCAGAGTGCCTGCAACATTTTACATTCTCACCAACAATGTACAAAGGCTGTAATTTCTCCTCATCCTCGCCAATATGTATTACAGCTGACTCTTGAATAAGACAGGTTTGAAGCACATGGGTCCACTTACGCTCAGATTTTATTCAATAGTAAACACTATAGTACTATCTGTGGTTGGTTGAGTCTGTATGGGGAACCAAGACAGAGGCTGATTATAAAGTTATATGCAGATTTTTGACTGAGGCGGCTGGTACCCCCAACTGCCAAATTGTTCAAGAGTCACCTGTATTATCTTTTTGAGAAATGCAAATCAGAATCGTAATACCATTTCATATTTTGGTATTACGATTCTGATTTGCATTTCTCTAACGACTAAGACTGTTGAGCATCTTGTCATGTGCTTATTGGCCATTTTATATATTCTCTGCTGTGCTGTTTCTGCACAACTACCTGTAAACAGACAGAACAAGGTAGAGGACAATATGTCATTTATATGTTATCTCACTGAATACACTATATCTTGGGAACTGAGATGGAGACCTGACATGCCTAATGTAGGCATGGCGTTATTTGCAAACAGAGAATGCTAGTCCCCATTCACCATGCCATGACAGTCTGATCTGCTTTGGTCAAGGAAAGGCTTTGATGATGTGGCCCAGTGTTTCCTGGACTTCAGTGTGCAGGTCTGGTGGAGCCTGAGTAGTGAGGCTCTAGATATTTGTGCTTACTGTGCCCAGAACTGTGCTATTTCATTTAACCCTCATGCCGATTTAAAATAACTCCACTTTATAGATGAGGAAACAGAGGCTTAGAAAGGTTAATTAACTTACCCAAAGTGGTAAGAGCTAGTAAGTGGTAGGGCTAGTTACGGGATTTCTGAGATTGCAGTGTATAGGCTATTTTTACCAAACTGTCTGGTTAAAAAAGTCTACTAACCTCCAGAGCTCATGAAATGGATTTCTTTTCCTAATCCACATGCCCTCAATCATAAAATAACTTACTCACCTCTGTAACACTTGAAAGACAAGGAACATAGCAACAGTAAGACACTGGTGGATAGAAAATGTTATTAACCATTGAAGACATTTCATGAAGCCAGGGAATGGGAAGCAAGATACAAAAATTCAGGAAAAACTCATAGGCCAACCAATACCACTTGGGGCACCTTCCTCAGTGTCACCAGCTTGGCCTCTTTTACCTGAGTCACCGGCCTGCTCAGAGAACATGAGTGTACTTCTGCTTCTGGCTAAAGAAGCCTGTGTGGGTGTCAACAGTCGCATAACAAGAAATGTTTCCATGGGACTAAGGTGCATGCGATGAGCTGAGGGATGGAATCAAATGAAAATTTTTATAACACACTGATTTTGTTAATGTAGAAATGTGCATCCTTTCATACTTTTTCCCATATAAACAAGGGCAAAGATTAAATAAGAAACATAAAAATAGCCAACTAATTATCAGCTTTAATGGAAGTTACGTAGCAGTATTCATACTCTAAAATTTAGTGACTGAATGTCGTTTTGATGGTTTGGAACATATTGTGTGATAATGGATTAACTTTTCAATTACTTCGTAGTTTTTGGATATCCACTAGCCAGAAAAATGGTTTTGGAATTTCAAAGTTTCAATTAATAATCCACAAGCAGATAACTGAGCGGCCAACAATACATAAATATCATAGTGATTATCTTTATACATTAATCAATGCAAATATGAATTTAACATCAATTTGTTATCATATGAATGAATGAAAACATACAGGACATACAAATAGAACAGATACATAGAGTTAAAAGCATGTAGATGTTTTCTCATCCAACTCTTAGTTAATTCAAGGTTTCTAGCACTTACCCATGAACTGCATCAGAAATCATCAACACTGACACCCATGGGTTCTCTGACACACAGGACAGACCTCTGTGCTAGAGGTGCAAAGTTAAAGCCAGAGGAAGAAAACCAGGAAGGTACACTGCCATCTTCAAAGTCACTGGCATCTTCAAAGTCACAAACATCATCCTGCTTACCCTCTGGTGATGACTCGACATGTTAAGTACGCCACTGGCACCAGACACTTCTTCACTGATGCTAAGAAATGCATTTAATGCATGGAGAGCTTCCCTCCCTTCCTTAACCTACATACTCTAAAAGGTATCAATTCAGACTTACAGTGCCTTCTCTGAGCCTCCATTAGAACATGGCTGATTCTGAATCTATTCAGTTTCTGAAACTGGCATTGTCCTATACCCATCATCTCCCGCCTCAAAACAGAAAATGTCACCCATTCTTTCACCCTTTTAAAGATTTCATATTAGTTCTGAACTTCTCTTTTCCAAACAGAAATGAGTAGGCTTACAGATCACAGACAAGAACAGAGCCCCATTTTTTCACATATCTGAGTCTCCCATGTACCTCTGCCTCATCAATCCCACTGTGTCTGGCTAACCAACAATAGCACACCAATAACTGGGCAGTTGCTTTTTTAACAGTCACATCTGTCCACTGGTCAATTAACTCCAGGCCACGATAACGTCTATGTGCACTGTAGAAAACGGAAGTCTCTTTCAGACTGGGAGACTAGCATTAACTCCTGTTCCTTTCCAACAATGACCTGGCTCTAAAGAGCAATGCCACTTTCCAAAGTCCCATTAGTGAGGCCCACAGGCTTCCACACACAGATCACAAGGCTAGGATGCTGGGGGTATTTGAAGAAGGCTCAAAAGAGGGGCTCTCACAAAGACCGACATTAACACCAATGCTCACACTAGAAAGAAGAAAACTGGAGAGACCAGGTCTACACGTTCACTTGCCTCGGTCTGGGGAATAGGATATTGCCGCAGTGGATGAAGACAGGCGCTTACTCATGGGAGGCTCCGTCTGCTTTGGCAAATTCATGGTTGATGTTGAAAGTTTGTCACATGCTGCAGAGAAACGCATTAAAGACATTGGTATTCACACCACTCTTCAACCAAGAAACACATTTTCCAAGGTGTTCTTCCTCTCCTCATCCACATGCCTCTAAAACCACTGTGGCACAGCACGCTGCCTCCAGCTCCCTGCTCGCTACTGAGCATGTCTGAGAAGGCCTGGGCCACAGCACCCATCCATTTGAAGCAAGTTCTTCTCTTTCACTGCTCAACTTTGTGCTTTTCTTTCATTTCAAATGTTCAACCTCACTCAACTGTTCAACTAAAGCCATGCTAATCCCACAAGCCAACCATTTCCTTGTGTCCATGGACTTTTAAGTATATTCAGACCACACGAAAACAAAACCAACCTGGACTGAGAGACCAATCACCACTGCCAAATGTTCTATGATCTGACTGAGACTGTGTGAGCTGAAACCGGACTTTTTCTGAGGTTATCTAGAGCTCATGTTGCAGAGAGGAGTAATTTGTAAAGCAAAGAGCTGTATTTAAAGCAGAAAAACCTTTAGCAGTTGGTTTCTTGCTCTTATCAAGAAACGGGGTCACAATGGCCCTTTCTCAAAAGGCTCTGTTTGTTTATGGTTAGGATTTCAACATGTGGTTCTGGGTTTGGTGCAGGCTTGTAAAGGAAATCATCACAACAACTGGAGAGGTGCTAACAGTACCTGTGTCAGAGCTTTAGGCAAAAGGAAAGATGCGTGGCCCCTGCTCTAAAGGAAGCAAACTCATCAATAATATTTTCAAAATCTGCTCTTCTATTCATCTTGTTTTCAGATGAAAGAAGTGCCATGCGTGACAAGTTCTCCTGACCAACTGATGATTCTAAATAATTTTTAAATAACTTAGACTGCAGTAAAATGATACTGTTTGGGTATAAATAAAATACTTAAACTTTAAATGTTAAGAGTTTTAATATACTTTTCAGTGTTTCGGTAAGTTTTTCAAGTATTTCAATGTTCTGAAAAAAATAACGATTAGAAATTACATAAAATCATGTCTCTAGGGATACGTATTTCCCCTTCTGCCTCAGGCTCCCATATGGCTCAGCATGGTACTAGTCTTTGGAAATTCAATAGTTTGTTCATCATGGATTGTTCTGCAGTGATTTTGATTAAAATATTCTTTTATCTTGATTACTGAGATTTTGGGTGTTCCCTTAAAATGAGGGCTCTGGTCACATACCACACCTCACCCTGGCCCGGGGCCCTGGGTGTGATTTCCAAGGAGTAGTTGTCAATTCTACCTGCGCCTTTCTGTGGGCAGAAGGCCAGTGCCCACAGGACAATGAGTGCAGTCCAGGCAGCAAAGACTCTGCTATTCAGTAGTATCAATAAAAATTATTCTTTGTCAAAGAAATGCTGGAAACCAAGGATATTTATTCCTACTGCTATAATTTGACCTTTTGGGTAGGTGGTAAATATTGTATCCTTTACATTTTGTTTTTTCTTTGCCAGCCAAAGATGAGTTGAATTCCTGAAATCATCATTAAATGGGAGCAAGGTTTTGCTAGTTCTGTTCTTGATCTAGACCCTAAGAGTTTCCCAGGCCTGTATACAAAACAGAGAGCCTGTTAGAGAGAGGAAATCAAGAATGAAGCCAATTTATCTCCTTGTCTGGATTCACAGTATTAGTACTGATAAACTCAAATGCCTCTATAGGAATCCATAACATTCATACCTAACACTGTATAATTATAGGTTTTGGTGACCATAAGTGACTGAAATACACTACTACTTAATGCCTAAAACCAGTGATACATGAGAGTGTTAAAGATCTAAATGCACAGAAGCCAAAGACTGACAACATTTTCAAGGCAGAAGTTAGTGAGCTAAAGATGAAATGTCTCCAGGGTGCTAGGATGTAAGGCATGCATGTTCCATGAAGACAAATAAAGAAATATGGGAACGTCATTTGTATCTCTAGAAAAAAAGTTCTAAGAAATCAATTGCAAAAGTGTTCAAGACAGACACAGTGATGGAGGAGGGTGACCGGGACAGTCATCACAAAACGCCATGGCACAGTGATGCTCAGATATACCGTTGGTTGACTCAGCAGCGGCGGCAGTGGTCCCTGGGTCCAGAGGGAGGGTGCTGGCTGCTAAACCTAGAGGAGGGGGTGGGGTATTTCCTGATTCACCTACACAGCAAAAAAAAAAATCAGACCGAAGAGAGGTAAAAGAAAAAAGTTCCAATTTCTGGTTGACTCTAGCTTGTATTAGGAAATTAGAAAAAGTAACTGGGATGGGTTGTTAACTTCTCCAGATTAAAACAGAAAAGCATATTCACTGACAAAAGGTTGTGTATGCTAAGTCGCTTCAGTCGTAAGAACAATATAATAACTCAGTTGTGTCCGACTCTTTGTGACTCCATGGACTGCAGCCCACCAGGCTTCTCTATCCATGGGGTTTTCTAGGCAAGAATACTGAATGGGTTGCCATTTCCTTCTCCAGGGGGTCTTCCCCACCCAGGGATCGAACCCAGGTCTCCTGCATTGAAGGCAGACGCTTTATCCTCTGAGCCACCAGAGAAGTCCCTAAGAAACTGTACCACACATGTAAACCCATTTGCTCTTGGAAAGAGCTGGTATACAACTCCTGCATAACATAATGGCAGACACAGAAAAGAAGACACTAAAAAGATGGCAAAGCCACCCAGGGACTAGTAACAATCCATACATTAAATTAAACATCTGAAAATTTAAAGATGAGTATGAACTGGATAATGAAATAAATAAGTCACCTTGAAACAAAACTGAAAGAGCAACAGAAATAAATGATGTGGAGTGAAGAACCCCAGCCCCCCTTTAGGGGTTACTGCTGCTCAGCCTTTCCCAGTCAAGCTGTAGCCATGACTTAGTCCACAGCCATTGACCTTCCCTGAAATCAGGTTACCTCTGGGCTTGCTAGGTGGATCCAATTAACCAGGCTCTACAGTCATTTTCTTTGCTTTTTCTTTTGCTTTACCTCAAAGCCCAGTTACTGTATCAACTGCTGTTTGCAAGCAAGAAGAATGAACAGATCTCCTTCACAAGAAATGCATACACAGGAAGCTTGGCAAGCTTTAAACATCACATCTGAAAAAGGTACCTGCAGACCAGTATAAAGCACCCCCAGATCCTGTGGGTGCTGGCCTGCCCACAGTCTCCCCCTCCTGCCCCCCGAGATCTCCCCACTGGGCCCTGTGATGCAGGGACAGTCTTTCACTCACCATCACGTCCTCCGGGCCCGGCAGCCAGTGATGCTCCTCCCGACGAGCACTTCTTCTTCAGCTCCAGCTGCTGCGAGCGCTCCAGAGACCTGCGCATCATCGCCTCCAGCCGCTCCTGTCCAGTTCATGCAAGAGACAGCAGCAACATTAAACACCCAGCCCACCGCACTGCTGTGCCTCTGCGTGGGCGTGAGTCACCAGACAGGGCTCTCTGCTCTGCATCCAAAACCCAGGCACGAGTGCTCGCCCCACCACACCAGCGCTTTCTTAGTGGGCGGAGAGTAAACGCTGCGGCTACTGCGGGCTCCCAGCGCCAACACCTCTCCCTTCCCTGGAGAGAGGCGGCTGCAGCAGCAGCCAGGCTTTGATTTGGTTAAGAATAGTGCCAGGCCAGAGTTAACTCCTTGACACCAATCCCATCCAGCAGAACTGGAATTGTGCTCTAGAACCAACTGCATCCTCTCGAGTTGAAAAGCATACAGCACTATGATTTGAGCAAACTGAAATTAAAGCATAATTTGAATTGCAGTAGCCTTAAGCATAACTTTCTGGAGTGATACACCATGACTTTGAAGTCTGTTTTACAAGGTCCCATTTTCATCTTAGAACTTCTTAAACGGGAATTAACTGTGTTCTCCATTGTAACATTTTTCTGCTTGTGTTACATAGTATTCTGGGGATAATACTGCATATTTCAAAATTCAAAAAGACACAAGAGTAGGGAAACTTATGACTACAAAATTAAGCATTTATGTATTCTCACATGTAGATGGGGGGAAGGGAGGAAGAACTAAACAGTTTTAAGCCAGAAGATAAAAACAACAACCAGGCTTCTCTCTTAACAGAGCATTTATCAAAAGCACGCCCCTATACTAACCCAACTGTTCTTTTCATAAAGTTGGGCCTGATTGCTGGCAAATCTCTCCCCGGCACTGGAGTGAAGCTGTCCTAATTATGTGCTCCCCACAACTTCAATGACACTGCAAATCCCAAATCTACTCCCTGCCTCCACTGGAGAAAGTCCGCAGGGTAAGCGGTTGCATGGACACCTTTTCACCCTCATAAAACTAACCCTGAGGTGCTGGGCTAATCCTAGTCGAACTTCAAACCCAAAAGATATTATTTTCTCATGGCTTAAATAAAGAAGTGAGCAAAATTAATTTAGAGCAGCACCAAAGGAGTGACCATGACTTAAGAAGTGGGGAAAGGCTTCTTTATTTCACTCACTTGAAACACAGAAAGGCCACTTAGGAGACACGTGGATCTACCTTTCTGTCCATACCAGAGGAATGAAATGAGCATTCCCCACATCGCAGACTCTGCTGCATAACTTTTCCTCCAAAGAGCACTGCACTAAAAGATGGCCTCTTCAGGGACCTATGAGCAGAAAGGGTATTTCTTTCCTCTGGTAAATCTCAGATTTGTATTTGCTATTAACTGTGCACTAGTTTCTGGCTAAGACTCTACAATCATGAGTGTGCATTTCCTCACAGAACCCTGTCCTCACAACCCTGGCCCATTAAATTCTCACAGTCAGTCCCAGCAGTTTGTACAAGAAAAGATAGGGGCTTGGAGGAACTAAAACTTCTTAACTATTTGAGGACTGAAGTCTGGTCACTCAAGATTGGAACTCAACAGTAATTCATTATGCAGATTAAACATCAAGTATTTAACTTTCCTAAATGAAATCAGTCCTGAATATTCATTGGAAGGACTGATGCTGATGCTGAAACTCCAATACTTTGGCCACCTGATGGGAAGAACTGACTCTTTTGGAAAAGACCCTGATGCTTGGAAAGATTGAAGGTGGGAGGAGAAGGGGATGACAGGATGAGCTGGTTGGATGGCATTACTGACTCATTTTGAGTAAGCTCTGGGAGTTGGTGATGGACAGGGAAGCCTGGCGTGCTGCAGTCCATGGGGTCGCAAAGAGTTGGACATAACTGAGTGACTGAACTGAACTGATTTAACTAATGACCTAATCTAAGTGTTGAAATCTTTCACCTCAGAGTGAATTTAATATTGAGTGGGTTATGAGAGACTGCCTACATGCCAGAAGGACCTCACAAGATAGTTGCTCATCCATTTGGACACTAATGAGAACTAAGAACACCAAGACTGATCAGCCAGCCGCATCACTGAACAGCTGTCTAGGGGCATAGCCATAAGGGAATGCCATCCACAGCCAGAGCCACTCCTGAGTCAATAAGTTACCTTTAGAAAAAATACCTGTCATCCGTCCCCAATCCACTGAGCTGCTCCAAACTCTACCATGAGAGGTTAATTCCTTTGAACCATAAGCAGGCTTATGAAAATGATGTTACCCTTGAGAGAAGACACAATCACTTTGTGTCATCCACTTTGTGGAAGATGATGAAAAATAGGTGATAACCAAGGTCTCTGGTGGCTCAGTGGTAAAGAATTTGATTGCCAATGCAGGAGATGTGGGTTTGATCCCTGATCTGGGAAGATCCCCTGGAGAAGGAAATGGCAACCCCCTTCAGTATCCTTGCTTGGGAAATTCCATGGACAGAGGAGCCTGGCGGGCTCCAGTCCATGGGGTCACACAGTCAGACACGACTTAGCAACTGAACAACAACAAACCAAGCTCTATGGTAAGTGGGCTTATAAAACCCAAAGTTGTCAGAATGGGATGATGCTTTTTCCAAACATGTCAAACCAAAACTTCACTCTTATTAGAGGTTAGTCCTATTTAGTCCCACATTACATAGTACATGTGTGGATCTTTCTGTTCCTTCCTGTGGTAAGTCTGTAAAGAATCCTAGATTTGGAGTCAGAAGATATGAATTCAAATCCCACTTCTGCCTGCTATCTTTTAGCCCCATGATCCTGAGTAAATCATTTGATGCCGTCCTTGGGCATTAGTTCCCTTGCCTATAAAATGGGGATGATGATATTACCTATATTACAGGTCATTCAAATTTACAAGATAATAGCAAGCATAATAAGTCCAATGCTAACTGGATCCAAATTTGAAGAGGAGGATTAGTGGTTCTCAAACATGAGTGAGCTTGCATCAGAATCCCCTGGAGGGCTTGTTAAAACACCAGTTACTGTGCCCCACCGCCAGAGTTTCTGAGTTAGCAGGTCCAAGGTGAACATCCTGAGAATACATTTCTGACAAATTTCCAGGAGATGTTGGTACTGTTGGTCTTGGGATTGTACTGAGAACCACTGGTTAGAAGAAAGCCTGAGCATGAGGGAGCATGTTGAGAAAGTTCAATCACATCAGAAGAACAGTATTAATAAATATCAGAGCTGCATACTGCAAATCCTGCCAAGTTCTGGCTCTCCTGAGTATCATCTGACCATCAACAGAGGATGGCAAAAGGGCAACGCAGACCCTTGTCCCTAGAATATTCGTCCTCTCCCAGGTGGGGCTTAGCGGAAGAAAGGAATGAGGGCAACTCAACCTTGACCCCTTGAGCTCTGGCCCTAGATATGCCTGGATGAACTTACAGGAGAACCACAACCAGGGTGACGCTCTGAGTTGGCCAAGCAGTATAAAAAGCCTGTGGCAGGGTTCGGCCTGGCCACTGTTACCCAGACAGCTGTCTCAGGCAGGAGTAGAGGGTTGATATACCTTCCCCATTGCCCTTACTCCATGCATTCTGGGGATGACAGCATGGGGACAAGCCCCGAAATGGTCCTAAGCAGAGCTCCGTGGAGGGCCTTTTTCTGTGGAAACAGACGTTGACATCTGGCTAGAAAGCCACGTAATCACCATGGCCCTATGCCAGCCAATGCCCTCTAAGAGCAGCCAGCTCTCTTCTTAGGGAAGTTTTCATTTAGTTGAGTTCAGATTGTTTTTACAATCAGCCTGGTGGGCTTTGTCAGGTATCAAGCAAGAAGAAGATGAGAAGTTGTGATGTGTTAAAGTAAATTACAGAGATGAAGGTACTCTTTGAAAGAGGCCTTTCCTGCTTATCTCTTTAGCAGGAGGAACAAGGAGTTGGCTCCTAGTCATGAAACTATACTTCCCTGAGTGGAGAAAGGTGAGTACACTGTGCTGTCACCCTTAACCCAGGCAGGTTAAGGTTCTGGTTCCAGAAGCTTGATGCTTGGGAGCTATGTGGCATGTGAGGGTTTCTGTAAGAACCCACCTTGAGGAGAAGGCAGCCTGCAATGAGAGAATGAGCTCAAGGTCAGGCTGTCAGGACACTGGACTTCCCCTTCCCTAGGACAGGCCTGCCTACCTTCTAGGCTTTGACATCTCTGGGAGATTCTGGGGTGTCAGAGAGGAGGCATCTGGGGCTCACCTGCACAGATGTGAGGTGTTACCAAAAGCGACAGCAATACCAACAACCATAGGAACCTGGAGCCAGGGCAGGGCTGGTGGGGAGGTGAGGAGTCAACAGGCCTTTTCTGAGCTCCTAACATCAGACCGGAGAGGCAGGAGTTGTTGGGGAACACACTTTCCAGCAAGCTAGAGGAGCAAAATGGAGTGAACCATCACCCTATACAGGCTTCTCCCTGGTTGACAGAGATGGGCCCTGACAGAAAGGACTGAGATGATCCTGGCATTGTGGAGCGTCTCCACTGCCACATGCCAAGCAGGGAGCAGCCCTCCCAAAAGATCTCCAGCAAACCATGGAGGCAAGAGCGAAGGCTTTCCTTTGGAAAGGCTCCTGCAGCAGAGAGCTATCCATCCCCTCCAAAGATCCCTCACGAGAATGCCAGTCGGACCTCGGCCCCAGCAGAGCAGTGACAACCAGGCTGCATGTGCAGAGTCCCTGATCTCCACTGAGGTCTCCTGGGGCTCTAAGGGCAGGAACAGGTGGGGCAGGGAGCCCACTGCTTCCTCGGGTTACTCTGCATCCATGGGAGGCCCAGCTCTCAGTCTTGCCCTGCTGTGTCTGGGGAGAAGGGGCTGCAAGCTTGGCGTGTATTTGCTGGCCACAGGCAGGCAGCCTGCCCCATTGCCCACCATCATCATGTAAGGGGTGAACGGGGGCAGACAAAGCAAACAGGAAATTAGCCCAAGCACAACCACTAGTGAGTCAGCTGCATCAGGACTAACCAGCTGGCATGACATTCCCTCATCTGCAAGAGACTGGAGTCCGATTTAAAATGATTGACTTAAAATGCCTCTGGCACTGTTGTTCAATAAAAGAACAAAGTACAGAATGCCTCAGAGGTGGACCTGTGTGGCACTGTCAGGTGTGGTGGAGGCTGAGGAAGTGTCTCCTGTGTCTTTGAGGCACCCTTTCCTGGAAATGGCAGTGACAAGCATTCCCTGCAATCAGCAGTCCCGCAGGGGGTCAGGAGTGGAAGTGGAGGGAGCAGGGAGGAAGGAGACCAGCTGTGAGTCAAGGATGGGAGGGTGGGAAGAAAGGGGCGAGTCTAGCAACTCAAGACAAACACCCAGGCTGGGAAAGAAGAGGTCCGTCCTGGTCACTGAAACAGCCCAGCTCACTGTGGCTTCTCTCTTGATCCCCACACCCTGTGCCATCATCTTTTCTGGGTAGCTCTCTCTTGACCGTGCTTCAGCCAAGGTCAGCAAAGGGAGCAGTTACTCTGTGCTAGTGCTTTGCTGGCACTTTTACAAAAGTCACCTTCTTTAACTCCTGTGACTATCTCTCTGTTCTGGGCTGAGAAGAATGAGTTCTTAGAGGGGCTGTGGGACTTGGCCTTGGCTGCTGGCTGCTTAAGTGGGAGAGCTGGGATTTGCACCAGGAGCTTGGAAAGGCACATAGGGATCTGGCTGAGACAGCAACAGTGAACTGTGACTAAGACCTTGCCTCAGGCCTCCATTCGCTAAGAGGAACAAAGAAGTTGCCACTTAAGCCTGTCCATTGTGGGCAAAGATGGTTCTAGCTGTGTGTATGTGTGCACAATTGTGGGGTTTTTTTTTAAGTTAAAAAAAGACCAAAGGGTAAAGACAGTGATAATTCAGAAATTTAAAAGGAATACTGAATTTATACCAATATCTCTGTATCTTATAGGTTTCCCTGGTGGCTCAGATGGTAAAGAATCTGCCTGCAATGCAGGAGACCCGGGTTTGATCCCTGAGTCAGGAAGATCTCCTGGAGAAGGGAACGGCTACCCATTCCAGTATTTCTGCCTGGAGAATCCCATGGACAGAGGAGCCTGGTGGGCTACAGTCCATGGGGTCGCCAAGAGTCAGACATGACTGAGCAACTAACACTTCCACCTTTCACTCTATCTTACAGTACTGGCAATTAACAAACCTTTATATTGTTCACACTAAATGATGAGTCACTATACCTTATGAATAAAAAATGATCATCACCTGATACAAGGCTATGATTATACTCTTAAAATATACTTGTTAAGAAAATCTATATCCCAAATATGCTTTCTAAATATACTTTCAAAGTTTAGTAATAAAGGACTCTGTCAGGTAATTACATTCCATTTCTTTTTTTAAACATAACTAGAGAGAAAGGATGATTAAAACAAGAACCTGCATTAAAATATAAATAGACTAGCATGTTTGTATTGGAAGGTAGACTATTTGATTTTCCAGCAGTGACTACAAGGTCACATTACCCTCTACACTCACAGCCCTTCCTCCAGCGTCGTGTCTGCCCCAGAAGCATGGATGCCTCGAGTAACCCCCAGGTGGATGTCACTCAGTTCCCACCCATAATCCCCTCTGAGTCTTAGCGTCAGAGAAGACATCTGAAAGAGGTCTTGGAGTCCACCAAGTCCACCCCCTTCACTTCAGAGACAAAGAAATTAAGGCCCAGAGAGGCCAACCAGCTTATCTGAGGTCACACAGCAAATAAACTGCTAAGTTGAGTGGATCTCTCTGTGTTCCTGTTCCGGCCCTCACTTCCTCCTCCCGGAGCTTCTGCTTCCTCTTCTCCTCCACAGCTGCCCTCTTCTGCTCCTCTCGCTGCCGCTGCTCTTCCAGCTTCTTCCATCGCTCCTCAATTTGCTTTTCATACTGGAGCTTGGCTCTCTTCTGTTTTTCCAGGATTTGCTGCTCCCGGGCAGCTGGGGGAAGGAAGGCAGAAAAAAGGTGTCGTTACCAGAGCATCCCATGCCATTTGGCTTAATACCAACAATGCAGAAGTGAGACTGAACTGAGAGGAAGGGTTCTGGCACCTCCACCACTAGCTGGGTGACCCCAGGCCTATTAACCTCGTCCTCTGTCTGCCTCAGTTTCCTCCTCTGTGAAGTGGGGATGTGCAACATCACAGTGTTGTGGAGACTGAATGAGACAATGCAGAGAAAGTAGACAGTCACTGCCCCTACACGTGGGAGCTCTGTCTGTCATCACATCAAGTCAGACTTGTCCCAATGGCTAGGCCACATGGGGGATTGAGAAACGAGAGCTATCAGGGTATCTTCATTCAGGATACATCAGCTGTACATACACTGCATACCAGATGCTGAACTGGGTGAAAGTAAACAGAAGAGGATGAACAGGACTGTCTTCCCTCTTGAGACATTTACTAAGGGGCCTTAACTCCACCTGGCCTAGCAGGCAAGGGTTCCCTGGAGGACGCAATGTCTGAGGTGACCAGGAGGAGGAGAAGGATTCAAAATTTCCTCTTCTGTCTCAGTGCCCTAGGGAAGCCACTCTACCTACCTGTGGCACCCTGTGGGGAACAGCCCTGATGCTTCTGTCCACAGCCTACAAGGTAGGACAGCCTTTCCCAATAGGACAGCCTTTCCCAATTGGTTCCCTGTCCTAACATAGAAATGGCCTTCTGTGTCAATTTCCTCTGTTCCTCCAAGGGTGGCCCTTCAGCTGCCCTGGGGAGAAGTTGCCTGAAGAGGGGCATGGTGTGCAGAGAATATCTCTCGTTATTCAGCACCCTACCCACAGCTGTAGTGCCGTGCCAGTAACAGAGCTTCAACACGTGCTCACTGAGTAAATCAACCGCCCTGAGAATTACATAATAGCTGTGAACAGGCCAGTGGTAGTGATGGTTTGCTCCCAGTTTTCCACGTTGACCTAACAACTGTCCCAGTTCTTTTCTCATTTAGTCACAAATTTCTAAGAGTCCTGAGAAAAGACACCATCACATCTCTACTCCCTTGGACCTAAACAGCCAAAGTGCACAACTTACCAAGACATTTTTCTCTTTCTTCTCGTCTTTCTTTAGCTAGTCGTTGTCTCTCATCGGATTTTAAAAATCCCTCCATGGCTACAAGAGAGAAAACACAATCAAAGACTTCACTCTCCCCATCTGCTGAGTGCCAGGGGGTGCTGGGGCCACACCCTGTGTCTGGTCACATGCACACATCAGCATCAACATCACTTCACCCGCAGAGTGGTAGCGGTGGCTGTAACGCTCACCCACCAAGTTGGGCTGGAGTGGCCCCAGGCCAGCCCTGGAGAACTAACCTTCCTCCTAGTTCTCTGGCTCCAGGCCAGGCCCCAGAGGAGTCAGAAAGCTCAATAAGCGACAGGCTTGGCAACATGCAGAAAAGCCTACCAGGCTTCCCCTGGTCCAGCTCCCAGGGGAAGGCAGATGAACAAAAGAAGACACAATTATTACACAGATTATTATTATTAGTGAACATTCGACTTTCTGCAAGAAGACAACTGCTGAGGGGCATGTATAACTGAGCTGGAAAAAAGTAACACTCAAGTTTGATTTTGGTTCTACTAAGTCTGTCCCCATGTCAATCTTAGCATTTTAGAATCACGAAGAAGGAATATAATGCACTCCTGTTTACTTGTTATTTCATTTTGTTTTATTATTAGTACAAGAAATAAAATTGAACAAATGGCAATTCCCCCCTAAAACGTCCGGGAAACATCCCAGGAGCTCTGCATCTCCACTCATCTTCTACAGGACCCTAGAGGGCTTTCTGAAGCAAAGATGAAATGATCTTTGCAGTTGTTTTAGGATTAAAAATACCTTACTGCACTTGCTCACAACTGATCATTCATGAGCATTACTTACACAGTGGTCAAGGACCACATTCTGGAGAAATTGGCTTTAGTGCTATAACCGGACTGATGTGCCCAGCACCTGGGTCTCCTCTGTGGTAATATCACAGCTGACTCCACAATATGCGCCTTTCAGGGGTGTGCCTTCCACTGCCCAGGAGAGAGGCCTGGAGGCTTGGACCGCAGAGCAGCAGCAGGAATGCGGATAAGGATGGATGTGATAAGCTCTGGGTTGTCACAATTCCCCACAAGCATCTAATTTTGCAGCCTGGATTATGAAGCAGGGATATTAAAGCTCAAGAGAGAAGTCTTGGAAAATCAACCCAAGTGCCACTTCCCATTAAAAAAAAAAATTGAAGTATAGTTACTTCCAGTGTTGTGTGTCACTTCAAGTGTACAGCAAAGTGGTTCAGTTATAGACACACATACATACATATATATGTTGCTTCATATTCTTTTCTACTATAGGTTATTACAAGATACTGAGTATAGTTCCTTGTGCTATATAGTAGGTCCTTGCTGATTATTTTATATATAGTAGTGCATGTATGTTAATCACAAATTCCTATTTTACCTCTATCCCCCTTTCCTCTTTTAGTAATGATAAGTTTGTTTTCTATGTCTGGAGTTTATTTCTGTTTTGTAAATAAGTTCATTTGGTTTTTGTCAACTCTTAATCATTACAATTAATGATTAATGGCATCACCGGCTCAATGGACATGAGTTTGAGCAAGTTCTGGGAGTTGGTGAAGGACAGGGAAGCCTGGCGTGCTACAGTCTACGGGGTCATAAAGAGTCAGACACAACCGAGTGACTGAACTGAACTGAACTACGATGGTACCGACGACATGAACAGCATCAAGAATTTAAATGCCCATCTTCTCAGCTCATCAGTGCTGCTCTCCCCTTCCCTTACATCCCCTGAACCTGTATGAACCCCACCCACCTTCAAGAACCCACAGTTTCCCATATCCACGAAGCTCTGTGCCCCCACATTACTTTCAGAACCCTAATTTCATTCTGCTTAGCTGCAGAGGACTGTCTCCCTGCAGGGAGTGAGGGCCTACTGAGCCAGGGGCGGGTCTGCATCTCTGGGTCAACCCACTTGGGCCACACCCTACCCCCACAAGCCTCAAGGTGCATACACAACACTCAAAGACAGGCATGTGGTCAGTGGTAGGGTAGCGGGGAGAGAAAACCAGATTTCTCCATGATTCTCTAAACATTTTCAAACTCTAGTCTCTGCCTTAAGCATTTGATTAATAAGGATTTGTTCTGTGTGAAAAGCTACAAAGAGAAGCCAACGATCCCTGGACAGATGCTGGCAACAGCACCCACATCTACTTACCAGCTCAGGCATGACCTGTCACCCTCTAGATCTAAGATACAGACTGAGAACCACTGAATGTGTACTTTGAACAGAAGAAAAAGAGAAAAACTGAGGGAAAAGGGCCAAGCACATTTGAATTGGCCTGATACCTTAAGGCTTTACCAACAGAAGGATGTCTGTTGCAGAGATATGTGTGATTTTAGGCTGCCCCCTTGTGGGCACTTGTAAGAGTCACACCCTCAAATCATTTTTCAGAAAATCTTCATTATCAGGCTCATAGTCATGACCTGCTTCGTCCTAACAGGAGGCTACAATGTACGAACCAAGTCCATTGCTTGAATTTACTTGGCCCAATCACCCCGTGATGACAGAGGTACTATTATGACCCTCATCTTACAGGTACAAAAAAGGTACACAGAGGTTAACTTGTTCAAGGTTACACCATCAGAAAGTGGAGATGCAGATCCCAACCTAAGAACCTGACTCCAGGACTCACACTCTTAATCACTGCTTTCTCATGTGGCAAAAGAGGAAACGTAATAGCTCGATCTCAGCACCAATGAACGAATGCTTCATGACTTTCTGAGACTCTATTATACACAAGGAACAAGTTCTATCCTTGTCCCAAGAATGCGCATGCAAATTCAGAGAGAAGTGCAAGACCAACTCATTAGAGAAGTACAGATTAAGCACTACTGTGAGCTGGGCACTGGCCAGCTGTGAACAGATGTGCTAAGTATTTGCTTCCTCTTCAAACTGATGGTTTGGAAATATTTGGATGCTGTGTGGCGAAAGGGGGTAGCTAGATGACCCCGGGGGCAGCCGTGCCATGCAATTTTGCTTGGGTCCCACTGAGGGGAATGAAATGACTCAGTCCAAGGTGGGTAACCTAGAATCTCTATATGCTCTCACATGGCAGCGACAAGCCATTCTTCTCTGTTTAAGATAATCAAGATTAAATGCAATTAACAATTCTGTTTCTCCATCACACTGGGCCTGTTTCAGGCATTCACTAGCCACATGAGGCTGTCAGCCACTGTACTAAAAAACGGTGAACCAGGAACCTCAAGGCTCACTCTCATGATTCACACGTAACTGCCCTGGGACACACACAAATGAAGAAGAATTCAGCATCCAATAGTTTTTCTGGGTGAGTAAGGCATCATTCTTCTACATAGCATCTGCCTCTCTTGATTAAAAGAACTGTCAAGCAATCATTTCTAGAACATCCATTTGAGGAAAAGCCAAATAATTATATCTCCATTTCCACCTTGTGATCCCTGATGAACCTCTGGGGACCTCTGCCAAGAGGTTCCACCCAAAGGATGAAGGGGTACAGCACAAACCTCTATGTGTTTGGGGGCGTGGACCTGACCAGTTAGCACCACTGCAGCAACACAGCCTGAGAAGTCAAGGTAGACTATGATTCACAGGCCCAGGGCAAGTGACCTTAATACATGAATGCTAACACCAACAGGAGATTTCCACTAAAGACATGGGTGTGCGTGTGTCTGTATGTGTGTGTCTGTGTGTTTAGTTGTGTCCAACTCTTTGCAAACTCAGGGACTGAAGTTCGCCAGGTTCCTCTGTTCCTGGGCTTTCCCAGGCAAGAATACTGGAGTGGGTTACCACTCCCTTCTCCAGGGGATTGTCCCAACCCAGGGACTGAACCTGAGTCTCCTGCATTGGCAGTGATGACTTGAGCCAGGGTCAGCAACCCTAAGCTTTGAGACCTACTATAGTACTGAGAGTTAGTTCAGTTCAGTTGCTCAGTCGTGTCTGACTCTTTGTGACCCCATGGACTGCAGCACGACAGGCTTCCCTGTCCATCACCAGCTCCTGGACCTAGCTCAAACTCATGTCCATTGAGTCGGTGATGCCATCCAACCATCTCATCTTCTGTTGTCCCCTTCTCCTCTCGCCTTCAGTCTTTCCCAGCATCATGAGCAAGTGTCTTAATTTCATGGCTGCAGTTCCCATCTGCAGTGATTTTGGAACCCAAGAAAATAAAGTCTGTCACTGATTCCATTGTTTCCCCATATATTTGGAAGTGATGGGACTCCCCCATGAAGTGGTGGGACAGGATGCCATGATCTTTGTTTTTTGAATGTTGAGTTTTCAGCCAGTTTTTTCACTCTCCTCTTTCACTTTCATCAGGAGGCTCTTTAGTTCCTCTTCACTTTCTGCCATAAGGGTGGTGTCATCTGCATATTGGAGAAGGCAATGACACCCCACTCCAATACTCTTGCCTGGAAAATCACATGGATGGAGGAGCCTGATGGGCTGCAGTCCATAGGGTCGCTAAGAGTTGCACACAACTGAGCGACTTCACTTTCGCTTTTTACTTTCATGCATTGGAGAAGGAAATGGCAACCCACTCCAGTGTTCTTGCCTGGAGAATCCCAGGGACAGGAGAGCCTGGTGGGCTGCCCTTTATGGGGGTGCACAGAGTCAGACATGACTGAAGTGACTTAGCAGCAGCAGCAACATTTGCATATCTGAGGTTGTTGATATTTCTCCCCGCAATCTTGATTCCAGCTTGTGCTTCATCCAGCCTGGCATTTCACATGATGTACTCTGCGTATAAGTTAAATAAGCAGGGTGACAATATAAAGCCCTGATGTACTCCTTTCCCAATTTGGAACCAGTCTGTTGTTCCATGTCCAGTTCTAAATGTTGCTTCTTGACCTGTATACAGACTTCTCAGGAGGCAGGTAATGTGGTCTGGCATTTCCATCTCTTTAAGAATCTGCCAGTTTGTTGTGATCCACACAAAGGCTTTAGCATAGTCAATAAAGCAGAAGTAGATGTTTTTCTGAAACTCTCTTGCTTTTTCTATGATCCAGCAGATATTGGCAATTTGATCTCTGGTTCCTCCGCCTTTTCTAAAACCCGCTTGAACATCTGGAAGTTCACGA